GAGCCAGCCTCTGGCACATTTTGTTCATCTGCAGGGAAAATATCTACACAAGCTAGCTGCAACTCTTCCTTTAAGTCTGTGTTTCACACAATCAGGTATATCATCTGGTAGACTTCCCACCTGTCAGAAAGGAACACTTGTTATTTTTATTTGGAACGTGCTGATGTAACAAACATTATTAACAAGCTGTAAAAGCAGCATTTCCATGTCAAATAGCAGCTGTGTTTAGAAGCAAAGGAAAACTCTCTCTTTTTTCTAAATGTGAAGAAACTTGCCTAGTTTAGTTTATGGTTTTACGTGTCTTTTTATTTTTATTTTTATTTTTTTGCAGATTTTTCAGTGACAGCAGATTTGGCAAAGATGGTTTTACATGTCTTATTTTTATTTTTATTATTTTTGCAGATTTTTCAGTGACACTAGATTTGGCAAAAACAAGTGGAACTAATATTATTGGAACAAACAACATATTGGAAAGGATTTTCAGTGACAGCAGATTTGGCAAAAACAAGTGGAACTAATGTTATTGGAACAAACAACATATTGGAAAGGATTCCGACAATTATTTCATAAACCAGTTCCTCAGATTAAAAATTGCATTGTGTCATTAATTCATTGGCATAATTGGTGCAAGTCATAGGCACAATTCTCTTATTTATAAAATGCGAATAAAAATGATGAAAAGGTAGCACTGAGGGCATGGAAATGGAAGATACATTACAAATAGCAAATGAATCTGTTGTCATCATGACTTCAACAGTGAAGTACAAATGCTTTTGAGAAGTAGGTGTTTCGAGTCTTCTAAAATAAACAATTAAGTTCTGAGATTAACTTAGGTTTGAACTACTTTTTATGGGAGGAATGCTTGTTCTTGTATAGGTTTCTTGTATAGGTACAATCTAGGCATTGTATCTGATAAACAAATCTGTGCAACCCAGAAGCTTGCCTTAGCTTTAATAGAGCTGGTCCATTAAAAGGGACCTTAAATATTTCATTTTTCCCTATGAGTAACCATGTGATAAGGATTCCCTTTTGAATGGGTCAGAACCCCATCAGAAAAACCCATTCGAAGACCGACCTGATAGCAGTGCCAAAGAAATCATCAGTCTCTTAGACTTCTGCATCTGCACAGGGTTGTTTAAAGATATGGATTCATGCTGACAAGAGCTGGTGTGGTGTGGTGGACAGAATGCCAGGCAAAGACTGAGGAGCTCGAGGTTCGAATCTCTGCTCAGATGTGAAAATTTCCTTAGGGGCATGTCAGTGCTGAACGACTCCGGGCATGCCTCACATAACCTGGAAATCCCTGTTGAGGTCACAAGAAGTAGTAAGTGATCTGATGGCACTTAGCATGCACACATTCTGACCCGGATGCCATCGTTAATGGAGATCCAGTGGATGTGCCTTTGGCAGGGAAAATGCTTGACCAGGGAAAATGGATTGCTTTCTGTGTGCACAGCCTGAGAATGTGGCAGCATGCTTCGAGAGGCGAAGCCCACCATTTGAGTGCTTGTTTTTCCAGCTCATAGAAGCAGCTGACTGGCAGACTGGGTAAACCCCTGTTTGCACTAAAACACAGGTCCATCATCTCTAAGAGAAGTAGTGCTTTACTACTCCTGTTAACCAATCCCTTGAATATTGGCTATTTTTCTGTCATTTCCCAATGTTCCGTTGTTGACAAATACGCTGCACATGGGGCGATATCTCAGCTCCAGGGATTTCGAGATGGATGATCTAGATTCATTTCAATCTAACTTCAGGTCTGGTTATGAGATGTAAATAGCTTTAGTTGCTTCTTCTGAGCGAACCACTTCAGGAACTAAATAAGGGGGGACTGTGTTCCTGTTGATTTTGCAGGGCCATTCATGGGCTTTTGACATAATTTACCATGGCATTCTTAGTCTGGCTCTTTTATAGCAGCTTCCTTGAGTTCAAGTGATATTGAGGACATCTGTTTGATGCCATGGATGTTGGCCTTTGGGAATAATTGACCATGGCATTCTTAGTCTGGCTTTTTTATAGCAGCTTCCTTGAGTTCAAGTAATGTTTGATGCCATGGATGTTGGCCTTTGGGATCCCTTTGGATGTCATCTTGTCCCACACGCTATTTAACAAATGCATAGACTCCCTAGGAGAGCTCGTTTGGAGTACTGGCTTTGATGCCACTGGTACTTTGAGGATATCCAACTCTTTCCCTCCTTTCTGTTGAAATCCAAGACCGTTGTTCCATCTAAACTGAAGTCTGGATGACTACAAACAACCTGAAGCTTAAGTCTAGCAAAAGCAGAGGGGCTCTTGGTTGGTCAAAAGGCAGAGCAGACACTCAGTCTATACTGGATGGGACATCCTTCCTTTTAAGACTTGGGTTTGCTGTGCAGTTGTCCCCTTTGATTCTCCCCTGAATTCAGATACCTTGATCAGGGCCATGGCCGACTCGGTCTATACTGGATGGGACATCCTTCCTTGGGTTTGCTGTGTAATTATCCCCTTTGATTCTCCCCTCAATTCAGATACCTTGATCAGGGCCATGGCCAGGAGTGCACGGATAGAGTTAAGGCTCATGTACCAGCTACACCCATTCCTGGAGATGTCTGATCTCACTGTCATGATGTTATGCCTTAGCTGCTTCTCATTTGGGATTACTCTAACACGCTCTGTCTTTGCAAAGTGTTTTGAAACATCAGGGTGGGCGGAGAGATGCAGCCAGGACTGTTGGCTGGGGACCATTCAAGGGAGTGTGTGGCTCCCTTGTTGCAAGGACTTCTGTGCACAGGCCAAAGTGCTGGGAAAGCCTTGTATGAATGTGGTCTCTGCCAGTTAGAGGAACATACCGTCACTTATCAGCCTGCCTAGATCTTAAGATCTTCAGGAAAACTCCTTCTCTTGGTCCCACCATCCTTGGAAGCACATTTGGTGGGGAAGCCAGAGAAAGTTTTTCAGGCACTGGAGGCCCTCCCACAGTTGTCTTTCTGCAATTAAGCACAGCCTTTGGATTCAGTGCTGGAGTGTTGTTGAGGCTTTGACTGACTGGATGTTGCTGTTTCTGTTTTTACTGATGTGCTTATAATCTTGTTTTAATGCTTTTTTATGTTTTAACTGCATCTGTTTCTACCGATGTTGGCTTCATTGACTGTGATTTTGTCAGAAAGAGGTGTAGACCAAATAAATAAAACCACATTGATAGAGATGCAGAAATGATGATGATATTGTGTAACATTTCTTTTCTAAAATTATCATGGCTGCCAGAGGATGCTTCCACACAACGAATTCCTGGCGCTACCGGTCAAAAGGCCTTGTGAATCTAACCCATCTTCCACTCCAGTGATTGGGAATAAGGGAGAAGAAGCACAGGGTGTGGTAGGGGCACAGGAGGGTTACAAATGAGAGATGATGGTTTCTGGACCCATCATGTTATGTGAAGGAGACAAGATAAGCATGCAGAATAAATGCCTTGTCTGGAAGCTGCGAACAGTAAGGTTCAGTGCACAGTTCAGTGATTATATTGGGTTTACTGTTACACAGTTCAAACTACAGTATCAGGAAAGGTTAGGAACTGGTGCAATCTCTTGGACTCTGTGTTTCACCATTATGTGACATTAACTTACAGCCTCTAAAACAACACTGTATATTTGCATTTCATGTCCTTCTGTGTGCACCCATCACACCTCTCGGAGAACACTCTAGTTCAAAAAGCTTATGCTGTAGAATTCCACAGGATTTTAATATTATGCATCTCTCTTGGCTACTGTTCGTTTTTGCTATTTAGAGACTCACAAATTCAGCGACAGACCAAGGTGTGGTTAAGCTTTTAAGATCTTTCAGACAGAAAAAACGCTGGTGAGAAGGAACAAACATTCTTAATGGGATCTTAGCCTTTTTTTTTTTGCTACTGGAGTTAAGTTCTTCTCAGCTCTGACTTAAAGTGTGTACTTTGTGTAATTAATTTAATGAAATTTAATCAAAATACATCATTTAATAAAACAAAGTTTGAAACAATTTCATGTGCACTTTCCCCCGCATCCCAATTTAAGCCATGCCTCTCCGTTCCAAACTCTAATCATCAATTTTGCAGAAAATTGCCCGCGATGAAAAAAAAGTCTTCGGCTTCTGTCGCGAACTTCTTCGACCCCAGACTCGTACCCATCCATACCTCCAAAGTCACACACACACACCAGAGAGAGAGAGAGAGACGGAAGGAGGGAAAGGGCAGGGCAAAGAAAGAGGACAGGGATCTGCGGACCCCCTCCACCCACCCCCCACCTCGAAGCGGGCAGGAAGGAAAAGGGCGCGGAAAACCCGGCGGGGTGTGCCGGCGACTGTCGCCCCGCGTCCCAAGGCGCGCCTCCCGGGAAACTCGGCGGGATTTAGTCCGGCGTAAATTTCGTCCCCGTTTTAACGCTGCGTTAATATCATGCCCTGAAGGCATTCGCCGCTCAGCTGGGGACGAGGCGCGGCGCTCCCGCCTTCGGGCCGCTCGTGGAATGGGATGATGCTCTGTCTGGCGGTGCCCGAGAGCG